ACTCGCTTCAGAAAGTGAGCGACTGATGTCACCTCCTTATATTCAGTCACCCCCACGAGGGTGTCATGTGGCACAAGGCCTTTTAACGTGGGCATTCCCGAGCCATTAGGCTCGGCCAAAAATAGCCCATTTGAACCCGTATAAACGGGTTCTGGGCCGGTTTTTACCTCCCGAAGGAGACTCCACCCTTCGGCGTAGCCTCCTTCGGGTTCCTCCCGCCCGTAGGAAAAGAGTTTAACCGAACACTCTCAGAAAGTCAGCGGTGATGTCACCAGTGTGACGATATTCAGTCACCCCCCATCGAGGGTGTCATGTTTGCACAAGGCCTTTTTAACGTGGGCATTCCCGAGCCATTAGGCTCGGCAAAAAAAAAACCATTTGAACCCGTATAAACGGGTTCTGGGCCGAATTTTCCTCCCAAAAGGAGACTCCATTAAAGATTGCGTAGCCTCCTTCGGGTTCCTCCCGCCCGTAGGAAGGGAGTTTAGTTGAACCGCTCAGAAAGTTCGATTGATGTCAATGAGTGTGACGATATTCAGTCACCCCCACGAGGGTGTCATGTTGGCACAAGGCCTTTTTAACGTGGGCATTCCCCTTCATTAGGCTCGGCCAAAAAATAGCCCATTTGAACCCGTATAAACGGGTTCTGGGCCGGTTTACCTCCCCGAAGGAGACTCCACCCTTCGGCGTAGCCTCCTTCGGGTTCCTCCCCCCGTAGGAAGGGTTTATCCGAACACTCGCTCAGAAAGTGAGCGAGTGATGTCACTGTGACAATATTCAGTCACCCCCACGAGGGTGTCATGTGGCACAAGGCCTTTTTAACGTGGGCATTCCTTGAGCCATTAGGCTCGGCCAAAAAATATCCCATTTGAACCCGTATAAAGGGTTCTGGGCCGGTTTTACCCCCCGAAGGAGAATCACCCTTCGGCGTAGCCTCCTTCAATTCCTCCCGCCCGTAGGAAGGAAGTTGAACAAACAAAGATTTTCAGAAAGTGAGCGAGTGATGTCGTTATATGACAATATTCAGTCACCCCCACGAGGGTGAAATGTTCACAAGGCCTTTTTAACGTGGGCATTCCTATATGTTTAGTATTAGACTCGGCCAAAAATATATATTTGAACCCGTATAAATATGGAAGTTTTTTTCATTCGAAGGAAACTCAAAATCGGCGGAGCCTCCTTCGGGTTCCTCCCGCCCGTAGGAAGGGAATTTAATGTTTCATTCGATATGAGCGATATATGTCATATATATAAATATTTCCCTAGAGTGCAAATCGCCTAAATAATATAGGGGCCTGGAAGAGTCTATTGTATATAGGTATATCCGGTCTAAATATTTAACTCGAAAATGAATGTTTCATTCAATGAACCGCACGGGGAGGTCATGAAAATAAATGATTTAAAAGGCAAGTGGATCCACCTAAACAAATTTAATATTCGGCACTTTTTTCTACCTAAAATCTTGCAACGCCAAACGGCGATATGGAATAAAGGGCGGGTGTAAGTTGTGGTAAAACTGGAAGCTTCTAGTCCTGAACTTGCAGGGTAGCGGCCAATTAAGTCATCAACGGCACCATCATAAAGGAAGTGATCAGCAAAGTAGAAATTAAATTCTTGGATAGGAGATAAAGTCGACCACTAAATATTTACCCAGTACAAGGCCAAAGAACCACCCAAGATAGAGGGTTGCTGAATGAGGTTATTGTATGGAGATAAGAAAAGATATATGTACAGATATGTAGGATAGTTAACGATTGTTCCTAGATTTATAGCGATTAAGGCTATAGCGATTAATGGATAACAAAATTTTCCTTGTGGCGAAACAGCTAATGTTTCCATTACCATGCTGGCTTCCATGGAATTTTGGCTGCGGTTATCGGACTGTACTTATGCAATAACAATTTTCAGTGCAAACAAGAAAGGCGATGTTGCGTATAAAGATAGCTTCCGTCACAATGATGGAATTAAGGGGAGGGAGTTGTATGAAGAAGAAGAAGATTATTGATTGAGATAGGATTAAATGATGATTAAAACGAAGATGAAATAAATCCAGTGGAATGGAGGTTTTGATTTGATTGGATTAGAAAAATGAAAATGAAAGTAAAAGTAAAACAAAGAGATTTTAATGAACTTAAGTGTTGTCGCTCGGAAATTAATGCGTGAATGACACACAAAAAAAATATTGGTTTGGGAGTCAGCCAAGCTTTGAATATAAGAGACGCACGTGCGTATGAGAGAAATGCACTTCTGAAATCCTAAAATAACACACACACAAACGCACACGCGCTCACCCACACACAACATACATAAAAACACACACTATATATATATATATATATATATATATATATATATATATATATAATATAATATATATATATAATTTAAAAGGTTCAACCAGTATTATTCCATGGTTCTAATTTATTACATTGGAATCGTAATCACGATTCAATTCATCAACCTACAGATTAAAAAAGAAATCGGAAAATCTTTTTGAATTTGTAGAATTGATGTATTGGATCGTGATTACGATTCCATATGTAATAAAGTATAACCATAGAATATTAGTGTTTGACCATTTTATAATAGATTCTTGCTCTGTCTTGGACATTGAGTTCTACCTGGATTCCATCCTCTTAAAAGTTATGTATAAATGCATATATATATATATATATATATATATATATATATATATATATATATATATTTAAAAGGAAAACAGACCACTTTAAGGTACCATTATAATAACTTATTTCACCAGGGCCCTTTTAAAGGACGCTGGATCATCAGATAACACTTCCAAACCATACGGATTACCAAGTTCTTCATAACTTATATATATATATATATATATATATATATATATATATATATATATATATATATATAAACATATATTGACCATTAATATTATCAATATATATATATATATAGATAGATAGATACATACATATAGTGAGCCAGACAAACCTACCTAGGTTTCACCTAAACGGATCGTCAGGGAAAGTAAGTTTATATATCAGCTTATATAGCGAAATTGTCCAAATCGTACAACAGCATGGGATAATTGTCCATCCCCCCAAATATTTAATATCTAAAAAATGACTAAACTAATTGAGTTTCTTTTTTACAGATTTTCAGATAAGAAGTTTAGTCATCTTGACACCATTTGTCATGAGAATCACTGAAAAGTCTTTTGAGTTCTTCAGTTGCAAAGAGAACAGCTTAAAATCGTTTTGTGTCAGCCTCAGTCTTTCCACATTAGCAATGGTGAGAAGAAAAAAAAATCATTCAAGCATTCAGTAATAGTACCAAAATTCATACTCTGGCTTCCATCTTCAAAATCCATTTAATAACCATCAAGAGATCGGTGAATAAATTTAGAACAGTAGAGAGGAAAACTGGATCAGATTTATTGTTCAAAGTAGAGTCCAAAAGGTGTTATGAAAACCTCGGAGAATGCCAGTAAGATCTATTAATTCATTTGTAAGACACAACGATTCATAGCTTAATTTAACAATTAGACAATTTTGCAGTTGCCCGATTTGGACAAATTTGCTGTTACACCTGGTTTATATATATTTATATATATATATATATATACAAAACGCACACACACAGACATATATATATATATATATATATATATATATATATATATATATATATATATATATATAAAAAAAAAGATAAAATGTGGATCGGAATTTGACATAATGATAAAATGAAGAAATCTAAAAGGTATATCCTTCTAACCTGATTCATCTTTATTAAAACTTCGTCAGCGATTGAGAGAAAACAAACACAGATAATTAACATACGTTTCCTATTTGTTCTTTATTTTATTTTATTTTATTTTATATATATATATATATATATATATATATATATATATATATATATATACAGCAGCATACCGATGTTTTGGTCCTGGGCAAGGGCAGGTGCACCACTCAGCACCCTCTACCACAACCAGTAGCCAACGAGCATGGATGGATAAAATACTATTTTTTTTTTAGAAATTCAACTACAACTACTTCTCTCGATCATTGATACGATATAGTTAGAAATACAAATATAAATACAAGTAATTTTCTTCCGATTTCTCGGCTTTTTGATTGAGGAATTGGAGAGCCGAGTTCGATTTCCAGTCGAATGCATTACATTCACTTACATCCCAATACCATTGGAAAAGGTATGAATCTCCTCTTCTCCTCCCCACCAGCAATGGGTTAAATAGCAGGACAGACCGAGTTCTATAGTCTTGAATAGCAACTGGTCTTCCGCTGAAATGTCAACCTACTGCGGGAAAAATTGCCTCTTCAGTGATATATAGAAAGATATATGATCGCCTAACGTGTGTATCAGGCATGGCACATAACTGACTGAATTTTCTTCCAAACTCCAAAAATACAAAAACAAATAGAAATTATTCAGAAACTAGGCAAAAGTCTAAATATAAATGCTTTTTCACACACATTCTCTGAAAATTAATTTAAATACAATTCAAATACATTTTTTTTGATCCACTACTTCAAACAAGCACAGTTCTTTGACAAAACCTGAATTGAAATTCTTTTTTTTTTCTATTTGAATTCGTAAAGCATATGGCCAGGCTTTATAGTCAAAAATTTGTTAATAACACCATCAACCTTTACATTGTTCTTCGGAGCGCTCACGGGACGCCGCAGAAACAGTCAACAGCTGTCAATGCAGTTTGTAAATTAGGGAACAAATCATCGCCGTAAAAGACAGGAACAACAAAGGATCGTACTTACTAAGTAGCTTAACGAGTGCAAAAAATTACGACGATTATTACTTGATGCAAGGACTTGTCCGTGTTCACGAAATCCCATGTGCTGATTCGACAAAAACCTGATACAATCAAAAATCGCATGATAGGATCCTTCTGCAATTACTTCTGTTTCTTTATATGCTTCAGTATCTGTCAATTATAGACCCTTCTGATATGTATCTCAAAGAGTTTTCCCATGCAAGATATGACGAACTGTGATGAGTTCCTTCTTCAAGTTCTTGTAGTCTTTCTTTGCATTTTTTTCCATTTTCGAAATTCACAAGGTCTTTCGAATACCGTGCTATGGTTGACTGGGGATGTTCATGTTTATGGTCAAAAATTTGTTAATAACACCATCAACCTTTACATTGTTATTCGGAGTTTTTTTTTTTCATTAATTTAATTTGCTGAAAGAGCGCTCACGGGACACCACAGAGACAGCAACAGTCAACCGTATGCGCAATGCTGTTTGGAAATTGGGAAACACTTCATCGCCGTAAGATATTACAAAGTTGAAAAGCTCAATTGAGGTTTTTGGTTTAACGAAAGCACCATTTTTTTTTTCTTTTTTGCATTAATTATTTGGCAATTTCGCGACCGATTTTTATTTCATCAAAATCACCCATGTACGCAGTAGCAGCTATTTTGCATTTTTCTACAATGTCTTCGTTTGAGTCGATGATAATTTCAATATCCAAGAGAAACCCAAATTGCACATGCAACTGACTCAACCTTATAAATCGATCTTTCAGTTCTGTATTGAACTTGTCCAATACTGCCTTCAAGATAACATCCATTTCTTCTCTCAAATTTAGAGGCTCATCTTTCGTCTCCACTCGAGGAATTGTGTTTTTAAGACGCAGCCTACTGTGTTAACTAACATCAATACCCCATTCTAAGCATTTTCCTTGCCTTTTGTAACTGAACTTTTACGGATAGAATCTCGTTCACTCAGAACAGATTGATGCAGATTTTGAATGTCAGCTCGAGCTTCATTGGTTAGAAAGCTGAAACATTGCATATTGCGCAGCAAGCAGCTGATGTCGCTTCTTGTCTCGACTGATACTGAATGGTCACTTCCCATATACACCATTAATTTAGCTATATCATCCAAATTCGTTTTTAGGACAGGAACAGCATCGCGCCTAGCATTCCATCTTGTATCAGGAGACCGCTTTAGATCCGTCTCCTTACACACCGCATTGCTGAGCTGGAGACAAACTGTACAATGAATCAAAAACTCCAAGAATTATATAGAAATCATCTGTTCTGATGCTGCCTGACCTCCTACGAGGCTCAAAGAATGGCTGTCACACTTCAAAAAGATTGCTTTCAGGTTTATCTCTGATATGAGTTTCTGGACACCGGACATCTTCCCAACCATTGTTGCGGCATTTTCATACGTCTGTCCACTAGTCGTTCACATCAATTCCTATTCTGAGATAATTTCTTCTATATCACTCTTGGCGCCTTTTTTTTTAATGAATTTTAATAAAATCAATGAACTCTTCCTTGACTATAGCACTTTTAGATTCGTTGTCAACATCGACAAACATTTTTTTCGTTGTGGGAAACGTAAGGAATTGTGTCGAACATAATCCAAACGTGTCTACTTCTTTTGATTCTCTGTAGGATAGACAGACGTACTTAGTTACTCAGTAGTTCAATGAACTCATTCTGTAGCTTGCCAGATAAAAATCTTGCAGAGTATGGATGCGACATGACATAATCTAAGTGAAGCTGAAACAAAGGGTCGTACTTGCTAAGTAGCTTAACGAGTGCAAAAAAATTATCAGGATTATTACTTGATGCAATGACTTCTCCATGTTCACGAAATCCCAGATGTTGAATCGACAAAAACCTGATACAATCCAAAAATCGCATGATAAGATCCTTCCTCAATTACTTCTTACATATGCTTCAGTATCACTCTGTCAATCGTAGACCCTTCTGATATGTACAGTGAGGTGAAACAGGTATTTGGGCAGTAAGAAAATGGATTTAGAATCATATATTGAAAGAAAAGCATTGTCTAAAACTCACAATATATTCGTAAAACAATTATAAATGCAAATAAACAGCAAAAATTTCATTTTTTTTTACTGTCCAAATACTTGTTTCACCTCACTGTATCTCACAGAGTCTTCCCATGCAAGATATGACGAACCGTGATGAGTTCCCTGTTCATGTTCTGGTAGTCTTTCTTTGCATTTTTCCATTTTCGAAATTCTCAAGATCTTTCGAATACCGTGCTATGGTTGAATGGGGGTGTTGAAAACAATAAATATCAAAAACAATACACTGTAACATTTTTACTAGATTACAACAGCGAATTAGGCGGAATTGTAGAGCCATCCTGTAGTCTTCTTTGGAACCAGTAATGTTGGAAGGTCTGCTCAAAGATGAAGAAGAAACACAAGGTAACGGAGGTTTGGTTCTACAGAAAGATGCTAAGGATATCATGGACCGAGCGTGTGAGCAACGATGAGGTTTTGGAAAGGACGCAGACAAAGAGGAAACTTATGCTTAACATCAGGAAGAGACAGTTGAAATCTCTGGGACACATAATAAGAAAGTAGAGCTTGGAGAGTCTGATACTCACTGGTCGAATAGAGGGAAAGTGAGACAAGGGAAAGCAACGTATGGCATACCTGGCAGGCTAAAGCAATTAGATGACAGAACATGGCCTGGGACGAGTAGCAAATGGACAAGAGAGCTACAAGGGATAAGGGGGAAGTGGAGAGCCATGATCGCCTACGTCTTGAAGGAACACGTCACATAAAAATAAAAAGAATTAGTTGAACTGCGGTCGATACCCACGCGTATCGCGATCGTTTCACTTTTCATCACTTCTTCGATACGTTGGCTCTCAATAACTTCCCGATTCTTTATAAATTTGAAAGGACCGTCTTTGTACTGAAAAACTTTAGCACCCATCATCACCATTTGTACGTGTAGATCATCAGAAATGTATGGTTTATAGGAATTTACATACAAATTTAAGCAACCTACATATTACTTGGTTAATACTGCATGTTTAGTTTTATCATATAGTGTATTTTCATCAGATTGGCAACGAAACGAGGATGAAGGCCGATTAGAAGCATCCGGTAAAACCGTTTGCTTTGCATCAGCATCTATTGTAACTTAATAGATGAATACATACATACATTGCAATAAAGCATTTTTCCTTATATTCTCAGCGGAAGTGCATGTTTTTCCGTAATAAACTTCAAAGGCCTTATTGAGCTTCTCGTCGTAGTATAATCATTAATATATTCATTGAAATGCGATGATCTACCAATTGAGGCGAAGAGAAAAAATTACAATTGTTATCATTTACGCTGGGTTTAGCATCCCAGGAACACATCTTAAAACATTAATATAAATTAGTTTTCAATGTGGGCTCAACCAAGGGAAAACAGAAATTAAACAACACTTTTTCTTGTTTCTTTAACACATTTCACGTTTTGGCCGGCCTGAACTTCCGTCCGCAAAGCGCATGATCGAAAAACTACTGAACGCCTTCGCGAAAAGAATTTATGACGCGCTGTTAATAAAATAAGTATCTGCAGGCAGTCACAAAAAGGATATTAAAGTAAATAAAAAGGAGGAAATGTTACGTCTTCTTTGACATTTTGAAATAATTTCCCGTCATTTTCGTCGATAAATATGTTAAAACTTAGCCTACCCTACCTAACCTAACATAGTATTAACTTTTCAACACATCTAATTAAATTTGGTTAGATAGGGTCTAGATTTTTCCCCCCACCGTTTTTTTTTTTTTTTAATATATTGGAAGTCACTCCAAGAATAGGCAATAAAAATTGCAATCACCGAGTCATTTTTGCGCCTCATGACGGTGTGCCCCGGGCCGACTACCTCTCTATATCCTGGCATCACTTCTATTTTTAGAAAACATTTAATCTGCCGTGAAATTTACTAACCAGTGTAAGATTGATAGCAGGGGAACAGTATTTAATCAATAATGCTTCTCTAATTATGAGATGTATACGACTATGTGATTTGAAAAGAATTTTTGTGTTGTTGACTAGAAATTTCTTTAAAGGTTCTTGTAAATTATGGGTTAATAAATGTTTATTAATCGCCCTCTGAATCGAGAGGTGGCATGTAATGCGTCTACTTAAGGACGTAGTGGTGTGCCTGACATAGGTGATTGTTTTTTTTTTTTAAGTAACACAGTCTAGTACAGGGCATTGAAATTGGTACACTATATTGTTCACCGCTAGTTTAGATTTAGTGGGGTTATTTCGGCTTGTGAGTTTGCGGTCTGACATTTTCTATAATACATTGTAAACTTTATATGTTTATCAGGGTTTACAGCAGAAATATGGTGTTTAATAATTGTCTCTATGGAAAATTCGTCCTACTCATAGTTATTATGCATCTGGTTGCAATAAATTATATTAATTTGAGTCTGTTCAACACCCACACAGTCCACCGGTGGTTTATACTGCAACTATGCTGAGCAGATCTTAGTTACAGTTTCTGGTCAGCAATTTGAACAAGGCCAGCATGCTCAAGCCCTCGGCCACGATGACATGTAACTCCGTGCTAGATGACTTATTTAGTGTACCCAATTTTACTCACAAGACTTAGGCCAAAAGGTGCCGCATGCTGGGATATCCCGATTTGTAATCAGCAACTATTTTCTTGTGTTCTAAACTATCAACATCGGCGTTGTCCTCTGTGATTAGTTTATTTACATTTTCTTTTAATTTGTTTGTGGGGTCCTTCCTTAATCTGGTTAATTTCGTTGTGTTATCTCGGATAGATTGTAACTTCTAGTTATAGTTCTGTTTGCTTTTGTACCGCATAATTATTGGTTTTAACGGTGCGTCTAATAACGATATCGAGGCTGTCGCGTGTTGATATTGTTTGTAAGGATATTGGTGTGTTGGAGTGTTTAGTGAACGGTTGTTTAAGCCTTTGGCTTTTAAGAGATCATTCAGATTTCGGTGCACTTTAATTGATTATTCTGTTGTGACTTATTGGATAGATTGGTGTAGTATTTTTCGGTTTTCTTTTGAAGAGGGATGACTAGGGACAATTTTTATATTCTTTAACCGTTGAAAAACGGAAAAATGTTAGAATGCTGGAAAAAACTCGATAAAAGATTAATTAAATCTTCTTTGTCTGCCGTTTTCAATTAAAGATGCTTGAAAGAAAGGTTGCTGCCCAAATACACATCAATATATATATATATATATATTGATGTGTATATATATATATTGATGTGTATATATATATATATATATATATATATATATATATTGATGTGTATTTAGTTTATATATATATATATATATATATATATATATATATATATATATATAAATGCGCAGGTATGCAGAAAATAGAAAAGAACACGTTGGGTGCATAATCCGGAGTTCCTTAGTTTTTTGTTTTTTATTTTTAAGAAGACAGTGCTCCATACAGAAGTAGAGCTTTAGTATAATAATATTTTTTGTTTAAAACATGATTCCTTCGCTACATAAGAGTTCTCATGTTTCAAAAACGAAAGCCGAAACCATAAGAATTAAGAATTGACTCTCTGATCTTAACGAAGAAAAATAGTCTAGCCACTCCCACAATAAGGAATTTTTTTCGTGCCTAAAAACACACGTAAACCGAGAGATAGCTTATTCCTAAAATTTCGCTTGAAGATGAAACGGGACTAAACACCTCAATTCAACTTAATTTTAATAATTATTTGGATGGTTTCGGCTCTCGTTTTGAAACATGATAACTCTTATGTAGCGAAGGAATATATTTTTAAACAAAAATATATAATATATATATATATATATATATATATATGAACATTAATCATCCCCTCATAGGCGACTGACTGTTTCATGTTAACGCAATCATCAGGCTTGATGATTGCTTTTATGAAATATAGTCTGAGGCCTATATGATATTGACTTCAGTATTCACTTTTTATATTTACATATGCTCTATCTCTGAAACTGAGCACTTTATCCCATAAATATAAATTAAAACTATAAAACTATATTTATATATATATATATATATATATATATATATATATTAATATATATATATATATATATGAGAAAAAGCCAACGCTCAATATTATTAACTACAAACACGGCCACAATGTGCTGTGTTTGGAAAATAAAACATCACCAAGACTCTAGAAATATGCACAATCTCATTTTAATGCCTAAACGTATGGCCAAAAAGCGCTCGGAATTACAGAACATTTGGACAGTTTTCGACCGACATACACTCTCTTACAGAAAAGAAAACACGTGTTAGAACAGAAGAACATTGAATGAGAAATTTAATCGTAGTACCTTGTCTGTCGTCTTTAATGAAACATGTATAAATGAAGGATTGCTGCTTAAATACAGAATATATATCTATATCTATATCTATATCTATCTATCTATATATATATATATATATATATATATAGAGAGAGAGAGAGAGAGTATCTGTCGTAAATCGTCAATATTTCTGTATATATATTAGTATTGCTTTCAAACAAAACTGAAATTCTTTTGTATTTATTCGAGGACACATCATTACAAAAATTACGTTTAGCAATAGCGACGACATTCTGCTAACTTGTCTACATGCTGCCTTCTTTTAGATTCTTTCGTCTGTAACAACAATTCATACAGACACTGAAAACAATGTAGAGCTGTCATATACTTCAGCACACATGTAGAGGTATTTTCCGTTTAATGTATACTAACGCAATTCATTCAGTTGTACAGTAAAAAAAGATATGCAAAACGTTTTGTGTGAAGTTCTTCGCAAAAGAATATTTGTAATTCCTTTTTTCAATTAGAAAAAATAATTCTCAAATAAATAAAGATTATTGAATTTTCTAGATCCCTGTTTGAAGATTAATATAATTCTTCGTTTATACACCCATATTCCGCTACATATCTATCTATCTATCTATCTGATTCTCGTCATATCTAGCCCTATCACTTCATATCTATTTCAGTCAGTTTTACATATCTCTCTCTAATTCTCTATCTATATATTTATCTATTTGATTTTGCTCATATCTATCCCGATCATTTTATATCTATTTCTGTCTGTTGTTCATATCTATCTATCTATCTATCTATCTATCTGATTCTGGTCATATATATCCCGATCAGTTCACATCTATTCAGTCTATTGTTCATCTCTCTTCCATTTTCTTTCTTTCTTTCTTTCTTTCTTTCTTTCTATTATATTCTGGCCATATCGTTTCCGATCAGTTCGCATCGAATTCAATTTATTTTTCATATCTATCTATCTATCTATCTATCTATCTATCTATCTATCTGATTCTGGTAATATCTGTCCCGATCGATTCATATTTATTTCAGTAGGTTGTTCATATCTAGCTATCTATCGATCTGATTCTGGTCATATCTATCCTGATCAGTTCATATCTATTTCACTCTTTTGTTGATATCTATCTATCTATCTATCTATCTATCTATCTATCTATCTATCTATCTATCTATCTCGGTGTATTCATATTTAGCTGTACACCCCTAGTGATCTATTTCTGTCTATTCCTGTCTATATCGACCTCTGTCAACCTATTCACTATATCTTAATTCATTCACTCTATCTTAATTGTCTAAATCGGGAACCATTACTTCAACGGAAATAGATTCGTCCTCAGTTCCCCAACCCGGCCGTTTTAGGTGCCAAAGTCAGTTCCGCTCTGGGCGCATTTCGCTCAGGTGGAACAGATTTTCTGCGCCCCATGTGGCCTCGATCCACTCGAGCGTGGACAACGTCTGATCAAATCCACTTCGCTTTTCGATAGGCGCAGAGTCATTCAAAGACGAATACCAGCAGACAACCAAACATTCATTTTGAAGTAGCTCCGAAGCCAGAACATTGAATTTGAAGGCGGGAAAGTTGAAAAGATTTTCTGATACGCAGTATTTTGAGTGGCGTTAGCATTTAGTCACATTTAATATTAATAGCGGAAATTATACTTAATGTCATATCTTTTCAGGATGAAGAATATTATGGCTTCCCACAGATTTTTTTCAGTTTTCTGTAACATCTGTGAATTGTTACGCGTTCTTAGAAATTGTTATGGTCCGGTTCCTTGTACCACGGTGATAGTCCAAGGTAGAAAAAATAAAGAAGACCTCGAACACGGGTATGGAATAACACAGATACATTACAAACAGGAATATATACAGAGAAGTAGAAAGTGTTAGTATGAACAATCAGGTTTAGTAGAGAGAACAATGTAGTCTCGACCAGTATCATTATTCCAATGTCTTGCAGTAATTGTCTGAACGCGACTCTGTTTCTCTGTTTCGGACTGCCTCTGACTCGACTTTTGACTTTTGAACTACTGACAATATTCAGTCACCCCCTGAGGGTGTCATGTGGCAAAGGCCTTTTAAGTGTGGGCATTCCCAAGCCATTAGGCTCGGCAAAAAGGCGCAGTATTTGAACCCGTAAACAAAAGGGCCCATTTAACCTCCCCCATAGCTCCCCTTCGGCGTATTCCTTATGGTTAAGATCCCATAGGAAGAGAGTTTAACCAAATAGTCGGTTCAAACTTGAACTACTGACCCTTCAGATTAAGTAGGAATAAGATTATTATTATGGGTAAGATCCCATAAATAGATATATAGAATAGACTGAGATCGATAGGAAAAAGACTATAGATAAATAGATATATATATATATAGATAGATAGCAGATAAGAACAGATATAGATAGATAGCACATTAAAACAGTAATGTCATGTTCCGGTGATAGTCCAAGGTAGAACTAATAAAGAAGAACGCGAACACAGGTATGGATTAACACAGATACATTACAAACAGGAATATATACAGAGAAGTAGAAGTGTTAGTATGAACAATCAGGTTTAGTAGAGAGAACAATGTAGTCTCGACCATTATCACTATTCCAATGTCTTGCAGTAATTGTCTGAACGCGACTCTGTTTCGGACTGCCTCTGACTCGACTCTTGACTCGACTTGAACTACTGACTCGACTTGAACTACTGACGAGGGCGTCATGTGGCACAAGGCCTTTTTAACGTGGGATTTCCGAGCCCGTGTGCTCGGCCAAAAATATGCCCATTGAAGCCGTATAAACGGGTTCAGAGTCGGTTTACCTCCCCGAAATTTAAATCCGCCCTTCGGCGTAGCCTCCTTCGGGTTCCTCCCCGCCCGAAGGCAGAGAGTTCAACCGATCTGTCGTTCAAGACTTGAACTACTGACTCCCTGCCTACTCCTGAGGCGCAGTATTTATTAAGTATGGAATAGCCCATTATTATTATTATTATTATTATTATTATTTTGGGTAAGATCCCATAACAGAAATGATAGTGAAAGATTTGACCAGTGTCTTGAACAAAGGTTCCTTTTCTTTATTGTCTGTGAATTGCCATATAATCTTGGGAAAATAGTAAAGTTTTTTCACATTGTCTTCCCCACGTTTTTTTCTCTTTATCTGGTTACTCCTCAGGGCTACCTTGCTATTTACCGCAACGCTACCCTTCTATTAAACGCAGGCTACTCTGCTATTGAATGCCAGGCTACCCTGCTATTTAAAGCAGGCTACTCTGCTATTTAACGCAGGCTACTGTGCTATTTAACGCAACGCTATCCTGCTATTTAACGCAGTCGAAGTACCAAAGAGGAAAGCTCACCAGACTTGGTGAAACTTGTCTATATTTTCCGTTTTCGGTGAAACATTTAATCACTATCTGCTTGTTTATTTCTTTGGGTAAAGGAAGTTGGTTGGTGTAGATTTGTGGAGACGATATGGCATCATTAATTTGACTGACTACAACCTATTTCGAGATATTACATCTATCTGTTTTCAGAAATGACAAATTCGAAGGATTTCGAACCTTCAGGCCCCAGTATTTGAAAAAGTTTTTCCTTATATACATCGTGATGTTTGTTCTAGTAAATATTTAATCCTATTTTAGATTTTACTTTTAGCGGATGTTTTTCCTTTTTCTATCCTAAAAAATGATAGAAAACAGATATAATATAGCTGTCTTGAATACGTACTTATTTCGTTGTTGTGAACATATTCTTGCTATTCCGTGAAATTCCTCTGCACCCGAAAACTACTATTTCATAGTATATTCAACATTAGCCAACTTTTAATAGAGTTAATATTACACTCGAGACTTTAACAATCTTCAAAAAAGTTTGATGTTAATCCATTATTTCAGAGTTCTTTCAAGAATTTTCCACCGACATTAGAACATGAACACGGACAACTTCCTCTACTGCTCGGCCAAGAAAGGTTCATCTTTTTTTCTTTTTCAAACTTGCAGAAGATGAAATATGCTTGAACGTGTGCAAATATAAACTTTTCCCGGGATCCTTACGTGAGTGACATGAGAGGACATCATATTTTTGACTCTTCTGTAAAATGGACTTACCTGTGCCTGTCTAGAAATTCATTTCAATTTTTGCCATAGCAGACTCATATTAGACATTAAATAATTTCAAAACTTTTGATAACAGAAATATGAAGAGAAATAATGAAAACATAGGGAAGACAGATTTTCCTGTTGTTAGGATGCAAATGAAATAGTACTAAAAATACGGCTATTATAAAAAAGAAATTGAAACTGTTTTTAATTCATTTAATAAAGGTTTTTCATAATGGATATATAGTTTAATTAGGATTTGTTGATTAACTAGAATAAGAGACAATTTTTAAGATATTATCTGAGGTGTTTACTTAAATTTTAGAACTGGAACTATATATATATATATATATATATATATATATATATATATAAATATATATACCAGGAAAAAAAAAAATTATCTATATCGTTTAACAGCAAAATTGTCCAATTGAAATGATTAAATATATCTTACTGGAATTCTCCTAGATTTTTATAACAGTATTGGACTCTACTTTGAACAATAAGAATATATCTATATCTTTGTTGAAATCATGATCCCTTCTTTGGTTGTGACCACCTGATCCAGTTTTCCTCTCTACTGATCTCGCTTTTTAACACTATTCGTCATTCTCTTGATCGTTCTCGAAAGGAATTTGAAGATGGAAGCCAGAGTATGAATGTTGGTACCATTAGTTATGGCCTGGATTTCTTCTCACCATTGCTCAGTTGGGAAGCCATAGTGCGGCTGATTAAAAACTATTTTAACCTGTTCTATTGCTAGCTGAATAACTCAAAAGGGTTTTCAGTGATTCTTACGACAAACGTTGTCAAGATGGCTAAACGTATTATCGGAAAACCTGGAAAAAAGAAACACAATTATTTTAGTGCTTTTTTTAAAAGATATTAAATAATTTGTGGTATGGACAATTATCCCATGCTGTTATACAATTTGGCTGTTACACCCAATATATATATATATATATATATATATATATATATATATATATATATATATATATATATTGACCACTATTTCCTTCTTTAAGGAAAGCACACTTACACATTCAGATATATTTCTCGAAAAGAAAGCCACCTCTTCTCAGTTTCGCATTCTAATTGTAAACAAAGCAACTTCTAAAGAAATAATGGATTTATATTTTATCCTACATTTCTATTATTTCAAACGTTATTATAGTGGTTACTCGTCATTGAAAGCGAGAGTACATCTTTGTTAAGATGACTCCAATACGCAGACCGATAGATATAATACACACTGTTTAAAATGAAAATGAGGCGTCTATTTAAAATACGAATATCTCCTACAATTTTGAAGTAATATATGTGTGTGTGAAGAAATATATTTTTAAAGTATGCCATATTTATGAGATTAAGTGCTTATTGTCAGAGATAGAGCGTATATAAATATAAGATCCTTTTACGTCATAAGGGAAATAGGCTATTTCCGCAGACAACGAAAGTGGTCGTCTTTCTTTTCAACCCAGGTGTGGACTGAGGTACACGTCTGTAAGTTTAGAGGAAGGGGTATGTAGTAGTTAACTGCGAGGAATTGAGATTGGCAACTGAAGTTGACCACTTTCATCGTCTGCCGAAATACTCTATTCTCCATATGAAGCAAAAGGTTTTGTTTGATTATTAATTATATTGGTCTCTATAAATAAAATACATCAAGTTCTTTTTTGTGGATCAGTTCTAATATTTTCAAATTACTAGGATCCACTTGGATTATATACCACCGGATTTTTCTACTTATTATATATATATATATATATATATATATATATATATATATATATATATATATATATCCAAGTGTATAATTGGTGTATACGAATAAATTCTAATAACCAACAATTACTATTCTTACTATTGAGAGTGCTCAATACAGAGTAGAAATTATATAATTATTTATTTAAAAATTATAACATAAATATATTATAAAATCACTACAAAAGTAGCCATTTTGTTTCTTGTTTTGGTCATGTTTTCCCCTTACGAAGGATCGTTAATTAATTTGAAACTTTTAAAACCATTTATTTTACATTCAACATCATCACTTGATAAGACACCGAGGGTGTTGAAACAAAATAACTATTTTTGTAGTGATTTTATAACATATTTATGTTATAATTTTTAAATAAATAATTATATATATATATATATATATATATATATATATATATATGTGTGTGTGTGTGTGTGTGTATGTGTGTGTGTGTGCCCAGACTAGACATTTGTGTAAACATAACAAAACATAACTGAGATGTATCTTAAACTCACTGACTTTCTATTCATTCATGCATTTGCGTCCTACATATGAATACATCAGAAATTTATATATATATATATATATATATATATATATATATATATATATATATATATATATGGGGTTG